AGTAAGTGGCCAGACCCCCCACCCATCTCTGTCCTTCTCCCTAGCCCTGGCGTGGGCCTGGCGGGTGACTGCCATCCCTGACTGAGCAGGGCTTGGCACCTCCCTTCCTACGTGAGCTGCTGAGGCCTTCCTGTTGAGCTGACTGCTGAAGAGGCCCTTGGACCACTTTGTACTTGAGAATCTGAGAAAAGTGTCTCACTTCTGCATTTGTGACTTTGAGGCCAGGTCCGAGGCCTATGCGGGATGGTTAGATTTGTGGGGTGTGCTTCGTATGTCACTAAAAAACACTCTATACCTCCTCTCGCCTCACAGTGGAGTTTATAAAATAAAAGGCTTCTGCCCTAGAATAATTTTCTTGCTTGATTTTATGAACGGACTGGATAGTGAGGAACAGGCTCTGGGTGACAGGCTAAAACCACACTTAAACCTTGAGAGACTGTGTATTTTTTTAAAATTCCCTCTCTCCCTATACTTTCCCCTCTATTAGCTTCCAATATTGGCTTTTAAATCGCAGATTCCCAAATACCGGTCAGGCTACAGCTGAATCAATGAAGAACTTAAAAAATTCTAATCTAATCCTCCAGCTCCACCCTTTGAATCACCCAATCATTTACAACCTGACTTGTTCAGAAGGGACCCGGATGTACAGTATCCTGAAGAGGAGCTAAACTGAAAGAGCCATAAGGGGGCGGGGGGGGGGTATGCTTTATAAAGGAAGAAAAGGGGGCAAAAACCAATAAAACCAAGGAACACACTTAAAAAAACACGACAGTCCCTGCTGCAGCCCTTCTCGTCTCCCTGCCTGTGTCACTACTGTTAGCCATTGAGGCGAGTGTTTTTTTGGATACCTTCCTCTACATCTCTAATTAATACGCTTTCCTGATTAGTGCTTCAAGTCGAGACATTCTATATATTACCTGCCTGCTACGGAAGATGAGGATTTAGCTCACGTCGATCTACCTCCCCTGCCTCATCCTCTTATATTTAAATTCTTTATTGGTTAACTCTGTGATTTCAAGTAAATTCTTTCTTTATTTCTGGTTCCATCCACTGTAGAAGTCAATAATAATAAATACCCAATAACGCTTACGGCGTGCCAGGCATTGTTCCAAGCACTTGACACGTATCTACTCATTTAAGCCACACAATAATGTCAAGAGACTGGTTACTATTATTAGCCCCATTGTGGGGAAAAGACCACTGCAGACATTTTACTATTAGTGGTTCTCCAAGAGGGAGGTAAACGTGGCTGGCTAGTCTGCCATCTTCACACTGAGTACTGACAGAACAAGGACTGGCGAGCGTTCATTCATTCGGGCCTTTGCTCTATTTCCTTGCTGGGCAATTAAGTGTGACAATGACAAATAAGGTAGTGAGGTCTCTAGGTGATCTCAGCCAGCACCAGGCAGTTAGCTTAGATGCAGGGCTTGGATTCCCATATGCTGCAAACCAGCTAAATTGGAATAAACTGAGGAGTTTGTTAAATAACTCACCTACTGAAACAGGATCTTTGGGATTTGGGCCCAGGAATCTATATTTTTAAGAAGCATGGCTGATGCCTCATGGTTTGGAAACCAGTTGGGTCACAGGTGGGCCTGTGCTCAGTAGCCAGTGGCTACCACATATTAGACAGCGAAATTACAGAACATCTCCCTTACTGCAGAAAACTCTATGGCGTAGCGCTTGTCTGGAACCTGGGACTTGCTCTGAAGGTAGTATGGAAACTGGGTGGTTTTATCAATGTCCTCTCCCTTCAATCAATGACCACAGAAGAATAACTGGAAGAGAACGTGGTTCTACTGTTGTAATAGCTTAGTATTAGCATTTGGACAAATGCGTCTCATACATGAACTGGAAGAACAAAACCACCCAAATCTACTAAGGCACTGAAACCCCTCCCCCCAGCTAAGATAGGCCGTAAGACCCAAATCAGATACAAAGCTCTGGCTGGTCCAAAGTCTTAAAGGTGTAGGGTCCATTCCCTTTTCCTGGTATGTCTGAGGAGAGTATACTTTAGAAGAAGTAAGAGAAATAAACCAAAGGAAATAAAACCACTCTGCATCATAAATGTATTAACTGTTAGTGGGGCTGAGAAGCCTTATAAATTAAATAGGAATTGTATCTTTTCCTCCGTGTAGATTTATCTTATAATATCTAAGATGATCTGTCCTGGGAAGATGTATTTGATCCAATAGTTTGTTAATGGAAACACTTAAAAATAAGAGTGCACGTGTGCATTTCTGGACAGGAGACCTTAAAAATGACCAGACTTGGAGTGTCCCCACCAATTACAGACTTTAGAGACTGAGAAAAGGTACTGCCGGGAGAAGGGATTCTCCTAGAGGGTGAAGTGACACAAAGCAGAGGTTTCGGAGAAGGAAGCATCTGGAAAACCAAGGCCAGAACTAGGAGCTGTGGTTTTATCCCCAAAGGGCCCCTGTGAAGGGCTCGGCTCCTCCTGGGGCTTTTCCCTCGAATCATGAGAGTCGTGACTCTGTATGAAAAGGTTCACATTTTCCCCTTGAATTCCCTGTAGCTCCTCCAACCCTTCAGAAAAGCGCTGACACGTTCATAGAAACTCGTCTAGTGGTAGTCTGGGGAATACGTGAGACGGGGCAGTAAAGGGGAGTGTGGCCTGCACCACAGTCACGCCTTTGCTGACGTCCTGGAGTGAGCAGCGTTCTGCTGAGGGGGCTATTGTGTGTGTCCCGGAGTTCCAGACGGCAAGCCGAGAGAAGGAGGGGACGGTGGATGACCCACAGATTAGGTACAGAGAAGAGTCGACCCTGCTGGGTGGTGGGACTGACGGTTAGGTCATATAGGTGCGCTCACATACACACAAATTACCATCAGACAATCAAGGTGGCCTTGAACCAAATAGATCTGGATAAGATTTATTGATCGGATTGTTTTAGAAAACCAACAACAAAACACTGACAAGGTACATAAATACAGATTGGACATTTTAGGGTAAATTCACTATATTTCCTACCTGCTTGTAGGAAACCAGGTAAGGTGGAAAAGCTGTCCTGATCACACGGCATGCACACCAGACTGCAAAAGGACTTCCACACTACTTAACAGGACTGTGGCGATAGCTTTATAGTAAGGCAAGCATCGTGTGTGGCCTTTGCACACCCTGCGCGGAGTCCAGGCCCGCCCTCAGAGACTACGCGTGAGAGAGGTTTCCCTTTCTTGCCTAGGTTCTTCCAGTAAAATCCTCATCGGCAGGGGCCTTTACAGGGAGAGGCCTGGCGCTGTCCCTGCTCAGACTATGTACAGGAAATGGCTTTAGAGAAAGCCCACCGGTGTGTTTCTGATGCCTCCTTTGTAGTTTAAATGTGCAACTAGTACAACAGCAATTACTAAGCTTGGTGAAACTGCCTCTGACTCACCCTGTACACTGACTAAGCAGGGCCTTTAAAAATCTTCTAAAAAGTGGAAAAAAAAAAAAAAGACATGAAAAGTAGACTAAAAAGATGGCACCATTTTTGAAGCACAACTAAGAACCTCTCTTCGAAACACCGGACAGGGGAGGAGGTCGCTTTCCGCCAAATCTAAAGACCGTAGAGCGGGAATACCACTTCCGGGCAAGATCCCACGGTGATGCACGACACACGGGGAGGTTAGGGACTCCAGGGAGCCTCCCTCAGGCCTTGCCAACACTCCCGGAGTCCCAGGGTATTTGGGAACAAAGCAATTCAAGCTAGTGGTGACTAGTTTTGGGAGCTTATGATCATGAGACCATAAGCCCCCATCCATCCTGGAGCTCAATGCCAGAACGATGAAGAATAAGGAAAATGGCTTTTTGTGCTACATCAGAGTGCTGGCAGGTAGGCAATTCTGTGACCTGTGCCACTTTCTAAACATCTGTAAGACCACCTAAAAACAAAATGGTTTTACAGAATTAAGACCAATGTAGTCGTAGAGGATAATTCAACTTTTCCTACATGCCAAGCTATATGGCTGGAAAAGGCATCTCCAAAGGAAAAAATGAGGCTCCTGCAAGAACAGCAAGTATCTGTCAAGAGCCAGAAAAATGTGTTCAAATGATGGGCTTCCCTCTGCATCCTACTCTGCTTTTCCTTCCCACAGGTGCTAAGAGTTCTTTGGTGGTTAGAGGACAGACAGCCTGGAACTCAGGGCAGGAAATTACGCCAAAGCAGAGGAGTGAAGAGTAACATCTAAACTCAAGATTACCACCCCTGGGTCCTAATGTAAGCATTCAACAGCTGTCAGCAGGTTGACCAGTTACAGCTAACCGGGCTGCTTATACGTCGCTGGTTTCTAGCTCCCCGTGATCCTTCCTTTATCATTTCTAATTGCTCATTAGCCTCACTCCATTAAAAAGGAGGTGCTTGTGGGAAAGGGGTAGGGAGGAAGAACTAAATATGAATCAGTTGTTTGACAGAAAATTGAAACGCTGATTATCTATGGATTTCAATTATCTGTGCTTTACTCTTGCTATTCTGGGTAACCAAAGGTCACTGTTAATATACCTTCTTCTTAGAAATGTTAATGTTCATTATTATATTTTTAAAATCTAGCTATGTAATAGACATGAAGAGTTTAGAGCAAGTTTTTACATCATGTCACTAGGGCCCTGAAAAAAGAAGATTCTGCCAGTGGAAAAAGGTTCAGCTTGGCCCCTGAATTACAGTTAAAATTTCAATCTATTCTATATTGGTTTATAGATTTTCCAGGATGTGGAAAACACTTTATTAAATGAAGAAAGCATGATTTTCTTCATTTAATAAAGTATGACATTCACAGATAAATTAGTATATACATGGGAGAACTGACAGTATTAAATATTAGGTTTTAATTCTCCATTTAGGAAACTCTCACAGATAGACTTCCTTGTTCCTGGGCAAAGAAATGTAGAAAGATATGCAGACATGAGATCGTACAAAGATGATGGGAAAGTCTCAACTCTAAGAAACCCAAGGAACAAGAAATGGAGCAAGAAAACACGAACTTGAAAATCCAGCTCTACCAAGAGTTGGCTTAATTCAGCCGGTCACATCTCAAATTCTTGATATAGTCTGTCTCTAAAGTAATGAGCTGGCTTCCCCAAGACAGATACAAAAAAGTAGTCTCCCTGCTTTATAGTCACACCCTATATATAAATCTGTATATATCCATATGTGTTTCTATATATTGCACTTAAATTTACAGGACTGCAGTAAGATGGCTGGGAGTACCTCAAAGAGGCAGAGAAGCAGCAGGCATAAACTTTCCTAAATCAAGTAACAGTGTCAGGAATTCAGTTAAAGTTCAAGAATAACTTTAAAAGCTGGTTAGATACTAAAATGCCTGGTGACCCCTTATGAAAAATCCTAGTCATCTACATTTAAGTCATCATACATACAGTCTCATTTGGCATCCAGAACATGCGCATAATGTGTAGTTCTAAGCACTCACAGCTGGTCACACTACATCATCTTCACTAGTGTTAGATTAAAAGAAGACACTTCTGACTTGCGTATGAAAACGTCACACACAAGGTCTTGGATGTCAGGCCTCCAAAGTCTACCTCAAAGATGATCACCCTCAGAAGGCTTTAAAAAGGATGCTAGTGAGTGCAGATTGAACCAGCTCTCTTGTGACACAGAGCTAGAGACCTGCTTATATCCCAAGAACCATGGAAGGAGAAGCACGGAGGCTGAGCATTCAGTCTTTGGTCCCTGTGTAAGTCCATAATGAAAATCCTTTCGCCACCCTCGACAGCATGACTTGTTCAATTCTGGGTATACTTCCCCCAGTAATCCAGAGACCAGGCTGGAATCACGCAGCAAAGCTTTGTTTCGAACTAACAGAGCTGCTCATGCTGACTTGCTCTGGAGAGAGGTCCTCACCGGAGCAAGCCTGGCGGTGGGTAGTGAATAGTAAATGCCAGGTGGACCAGTCATGGCCAGATGCGGTGGGACCTCTAGAGGAGCTGCTCCTTTTCCTCTTCTCCTCCAAACCCCTCACTCTCCCCGCAAAGACCCAGACTCACGGATGAGTGGTTATTCTAAGACCTTACTGAATACAGCTCCGCGAACTGAGCCCAACATGGATGGGATGTTATGATGAGGCTTGGAAGTTGGGGGGTCCGAGTCTAGAGGCCACAGTTTTCTCTTCCCAGAACTAAGCACTGGATGGCAATTTTTTTTAGCATAACTCAAAAGTGATTTTAAATCCCCACATGAGAAAAAGGAGAGTAACTTTAAAAGCTAAGTGAAAAAGAGGCACTTAAAGGAAAAATGTGTCCTAAACCTCCCATCAGAGTTGCCTGTTGTGAGGGGACCAATGGGACAATCAGCATTGTGTCCTCTTGGATGCCTTTAGCACCTTCTGTACAGCTAAGGCCTTCCAAATGCTCAGGTCTCAGCGACTTGCTGACCTACTCTAGCAGCCTGAAGGCAAAGCAAGTGACAATTTAGGTATTTCTCTTTTAGAATTAAAAAACAACACGAAACAAACCAGAACTAAAATTTCACGCCAGAATGATCCTCAGTTTCGTTCCTTCCTCATGCTAATTTTTAAAATGGTACTTAGTTCTTCAGGAAGGAGGACCTGTGACTTTTCCCCCAAGACCTTTTATCCATTTACTACACAGTTACAGCACCATGCACACTGAAGCAGAAAGAGAAGGAGGCAATAAGCTAAGAGAAAAATCAAGGGCCAATTGGCTTTCTAGAGATAAAACCCGTCACCTAAGAAAATGGCAGGTGTGTGGCCCAGAGTTAGAAAAGACACGAGCTCTGAAAGGAAACGGTCAACGTGACAGGCACAGCTCACACACGGCCCGGAGCAGAAGCCCTCCCCGCCCTGCTCCTCTCGGGCCTCTCAGGGGCTTACGTTTAAGTCCCATGGCATCTGTGCCATGTACTTAGGGTCTACAGTCCCCATGAAGAAGTAAGAAGTCAAAGAGATACTTGAAACCACTAACAGGCATGGGAGAATTTCAAAACTGCTCAGAACGAAGGACTCTGACCACCAAAAGTTTCTTGATTTGAAACGTTCTTGGTGTCATAATTTCTAAAAGCAACAATAAATAGCACAACTACGACACGCACATACGTCTTTTGACAAGCCAATTCTAACCACTGCTGGCACCATAAGGATGAGAACAGAAATCGCTAATTTAATTAAGAGTTGCTGAGCTGCTTAACTTTTTTGACTAAAGTCAAAAATCAGGTTTGTGTATCTATGCAGCAAGACGTCAATCACTGCTGCCATTAGATCCAGCGACTCGATTAGGTGTGTCTTTGAACACAGTTAAGTTAAACGTCTAGCTTTACATATAACCTGCAGGGTTCTCAAGGTTAGCCTTCTTGTCCTATCCCCAAACGTCTTGTTGGTGTGGGACTGAAACTTTTGTTTCTAATTTGGTTTTTGTTTCCATGGATGGTGTTGCTGTAATTTATAGAGCACTGGCTGACATGGTCATATGTTGAGTTCTTTCAAAAAATTCTTTATCTTGATCCATGACATTAGAGTGCTTTCAGACTTTCCCTCAACTCCGTCGAGGAAGAGGGAGTATGTGAGCATGTGTGTGGGGAGGGGTGGGGTGGGGCGGGTGGGAGAGAAGCAGAAAAAGAAGCACAAGGGAAAGTGAGATTCCATAAACTTAAAACCAGAGTACAGAAAGGCATCTGATGTATTTTCTGAATAAGGCCTTGAGCAGGGTAACCAATCCTCTCTGTGGCACATTCTACACTGCCCATAAATAAAGGAGTCTCTTTAAATTAACATTTCCAGTATCAATGAACAGTCTAGAAATCCTCATTTCAAGCGCTCGATGAGTCCCTGTGTGAGTCCAAGGTGCAGAAGCTGTGTTCGGGAGAGGTTGGCTAGGTTAGGGAAGGCCGCAAGCAGCTTCTCCCACGCCAGTTCCAGCAGGCTAGGTACCACCAGCCAGATCTTAAACAGTGACCCAGTCCGTTTGTTTTCGTGGATGTTCACCACTCCTCCGTGAATGTACATGCAACCAGCCTATGGACAAATGGCAGTCAAAGAGGATAAATTCAAATGGCTGAAGATTCGGCAAAAAAAATCCACAGTATGCTGAACTGAGATGAGGCGAGACAAAACTTCTCACCAATCCCAACACAGCACCTGGATCAAGACTGGTTTAAATAACTAGAAATGTTTTCTTATTTCAACAACTTAACAAACATTAGACTATTAAACTAAGTATCCATTGTGCCCCAAACTAGGAATACAGACATGAAAAATCAAGGTCTTTGCATTCCGAAAACTAGCAGGATCTTCAATGATGTAGCATCATGGGGTAGAACTGTTCTGCCACCCCAGGAAAGCCCCCTGGCATTGCCGTTCGGGCCTGAATGCCATGCACAGCATTTCTTTTCCATTTATGCTTATAAAGTTGTATATGATGTTTTTTCTGTTCTCTTCACAAGAACTAGCTTTGGAAGAAAGTTTTAAAAACACATTCATAATGCAAGGTTTGCTAATTTCAGAATCATTTTTTCTTGCTAATGTCTCTAAAAAGATCTCCTTTATCATCTGCAACTGCATAAGGAAGATAGAAAAATAAGAACTTACTGGTGTAACAGCTGCACAGTGAAAATAAACGGGCTCTGGCATGGTAGCCGGGAGCTTTACCCACTGAAAAGTCTGCAGATTCAACTTCCAGATATCTCCCAGGATCACTTCTCCATTGTAGCCCCCACAAATAAACACATCTATCAAAAGAAAAGAAAGTCAAGATCACATGAAGGAAATGAGCCACAGCTACAGCATGTGTCGTAGGAGACCACATGGCTAGCTGATCTGGGACCAGTCATTTCCCCATGCCACAGACGACTTCAGCTGGGTGGGCCTCTCTTGCTGCCATCTTATCCCTCAGTAGTTTGGACACTGTTAGCTAGGAGTAAGAACACAAGCCTCTAGAGAGGCTTTACGTCCAAGTTCTCAAATTCAAACCCCTACAGTTGCCAGGCACAGAGAGTGAATGATTGAGAAGGTCCAGGGAAAAGAAACAAATGGGCGGTCCAGGGAATACGCAGCAGTGCACGGGCCGAGAAGGGGGAGACGGCCATGCAGCCCTGGCCGATCGATGCTACTCAGGACTTAGGTCAGCAACTGCCAGATCTTGCAATTTTTAAAGAGAGGGTGGAAATCTGGATTTCTTTAAAAATGAAACATTTTGATTTTTAAATGTTAGCCACTAATTCAGAAATTTTTAACACACATATGGGCTCAACAAAACACATCTGCAGGCCACGAGTTTACAAACTCGTCTTTTAAATAATGTCCTGGAAAGCACAGACATTTATCTGCCCACAGAGACAAATGTTCTCCATGTAGACATTTCACCTGAGGAGAAACATTCCCGGCAACGTTCAGCCTGGGGGCACGAAAGACACTCTTCCAAGCTTTCTTCAGCCCAAAGAGGACAGCTTGAAGCCCCATTTGATCTGTATGGCTATTTTTGTCAGGAACAAAACCTTTCCAAAATCAAAGGTTTTTGTTGTTGTTGTTGTTTTGTTTTTGTTTTTTTCATCAATTAGTTATAAGTAATTAGAAAACTTGCAACAAAGGCTATGTGGATCTTCAAACTAAATGCCCAGAACTATGGCTAAATTCCATTAGTATGGTGCCTGGCCTCAAAGAATCGAATGACTAGATAGAGGTCTTAATTCAGGTCTAGATCAAGTTCAAGTCAATACTTAATTAAACCATAAAATACACTGGAAAGCTTTTTGGCTAGGATTCAAAAAAAGTACTGCTCTATTCTTAGAGAGGCAAAGCTGAACAATGAATGCCACTATCTATAAATCTTATCCAAAAAGTAGAAGCATAATAAAAAGAACCTCTGTACTAGAAGCGGCAGCATAATCCTAGTAAAATCTGAACTGAGCTGCTGAAAGGATACAGGCTATCAAACTCATTTACACACAACTTCCTCCCGGAAAAAGATTTAAGGTACTCTATCAAACTATAAAATAAACTGTAAATTAAGAGACACAAAAGGTACCCAAAGAGGAGCCATTTATCACACTTAGATAAAGTAGCTGCAGCTGCTTTCTGAAGCCATACAAGTGCCTTTGTTGTAATATGGTCAAACAAAGAGCTAAGAGCTCCATTTGGTAACAGACAGAGAACAGAATAAACTATAAAATAACACGCTGAAGGAGTTAGGACAATTTTAGTGGTCACAGTACAATGTCCACTGAGGTCTCTATTATATGTCAAGATTATCAGTGTTCGCCACCATAACCACAAACATCTGTGGAGGTGGGGGTGCTGAAAGATCAGGTGGTACAAGGACAGTTTGTTTATCGCTGATTTTCGAGTTCTCTCCTAACCAAGGGAACCCAAACACCATACCAGTTTACTTTATGGAAACTGCTGGAAGAAGCATAACCTCATGAATTTCCTTCTAAGTTTAAACTCCTAGAAATAAACTCTTCCCAAAGTTATGTCTCTTTTAAAGAGCTATTATTAAGAAATAAGACATCCTCAGCATGTAACTTCCAAAAATGAAGCGAGAAAGTTATTCAGAATCCTTACCATTTTTTATTTGAACACAGCTGTGACATCTTCGGGCTGCAGGAAAACCTGCCAAACACATAAACACAGAAATTTCATTATTCACAGACAGACTGAAAATAACATTAAAGTGACAGAGCAAAGACATACTATGAGTAACTCACTTAAAACAGTCGCTTTGTTGCATTAAGCAAACACTGAATAGTCCTTCCAATCCTCCCTTATTTTACACTAGCAAAAAGCCAGCAGAAGCCATATCATAATGGTACCACGTTAAGACGGCATAGAAACAAAGTGGGGTGGGGAAGGCAGGGGTTACTGTTGACTTTCCCAAGCCCCACTAGGAAAAAGGCAGATCTTGATTTCAGTGCCTACTTTTTACCACCTCCCCCCCCCATATTTCCCCACTTCCACGGAATTAAGCAATTCCCATTAAAAGTCTCTGCTCAGTTGCTGAGGAACAATAATAATTGGGCTAAGGAATAAAAGTAGTTTCTAATACCAGTTCAAAAGATATTTTACTTGTTATATAACTCAATAAAATTAATTTTTCCCTTCCAAAACAAGTATAAAATATATTTGTTAAAGATAAACAAATCGATATAAATTTACCTATTTTTTCGTGGGGTTTTGTTGCAATTTCCTCCCATGCATTTGTTTCAAGGTTGTATGCATGGATCTTGGAGAGAGAAGAAAAATGAGATACACACAAATAATGTTAGCTGGCCAGAAAACTATATTTTTAACAACAGCCTGTACAAATATATATTCTTTGTTTTAAAGTCTTTTTTTCCTTTGCTTTTCTGCGATCCTTGCTAATTCTAATATAAGACAAAACATTAAATGAAGCAGTTGAAAATTAAGCATATACATGATCTCAATATTTAAAAATCACAGAGAAAAATGAAAAAAGTTGGGATTCTGCAACTTCCACATTGTCTACAATGAACATGTCTCACCTTTATAACAGAAAAAAGCAAGTGTTGGTCAGAGAACATGAGCATACAGTTTTGACAAAACTTGAAAAGCCCACTGAGGTTCCAGAGCAGACCAGGAGCTGCGCAGCCCCCTCTAGCTTCCCCCGGACTGTGCACGTGGAGATGCCACAGGGGTGGATGAATAAGGGCCCCTCTGAGCCCAGCTTCCTGAAGTTAGTGATGTGTAGCTCTAAAAATGCCTGTCCTGATGAGAGGGACGAGACATTTTGAGAATCCTTGTTCCAATTCGAATTAGTTTCTCCATTCAAGCTACTATAGCTTCCTTTTAGTCACTTTCCTCATCCAGAGAAAGGGGATAATTCTTATAAAGTATTTTCGGTGTGTGACAATACAGCTGGCAACTGGAGAGTGTACCGGGGGCACAGAGTTCAGCCTTATAGTATACAGAGCATTTAACATACCATGAATGTGGATGAAAAACCTTTTCAAAAATTAAAGTACATACAGTAACAGAATTATCTTGCTTGTCTCTATTCTCTCTCTCTCTCTTTAAAATATACCTTGTTTAAAGAATAAGCTGTCCAGGAAGTACCACCTCCTAAGATGTAAATCCTCTGCCCATCATGTGCAATTTCATGTCTGTATCTGAAATACACAATAAAATACGTTTATAATTAAGTGAAACATCATCTACCTAAGATTTAGCCACAAGGCTTTTTATTGCATCATTATTATAATAAATTATCAAAAATAACCTAAGTGTTTAATAATAGTGAATTGGTTAAATTACAGAATATACGTTAAATGGATTATATGCAACCAGTAAGAATGTAGGCACAGAGAATGATTAATATATTGAGAACGTGGCTTCATGTCATTAACTGAAAGAAAAAACTGTTCTATAAAAGCAGATGGGCTACAGCCCCATTAAAAATGTACAGTTTCACAAACATGTGAAAAAAATGACCATAAGGTTATATCCGAAATTTTAACCCTGGTTATTACTGAGTTTAGATTTTGTTTATTTTCCTCATTTTGCTTATTTGTATTTTCTACATTTGCTATAATCTTTTTGTGATAACTCTGTTATAAGGGGAGAAGTTAATAGAGATTTAAAAAGTGATCTGCCTACATTTAATTAGAAACCCTAGACTGTGGGCGGTCAAATTAAGATACTTATTTAACAGATACAAAGGTATCAGAAAAATTATGCTGCATAGAACTGTGAATACAATGTAAAACGCCTACCAGAACTTTTATCCAAGCAGTCTAGCTACAAGCTGGAACAATTTATAACATGTCCATAAAACGATTCAAAGAAGGCAACCATGTGAAAATGCTTTGAAAACTTAATCTGTTTCCTCCCTTCCCTGAAGGCCCTGGTGCTGATAAAATAAATTACATCAAAATTATTCCAGTAACAGTCCATCTCCCTAGTCCCCTCACGGTAGCTCTGCAATAGTCAGCCAACTAACATATCATAATAAAGATAAATTCTTCCTTAGCACTTATATGCCATTTTGTTTAAAGGCAACGAAGAGATACTGGATAGTCTAAACAGAATGAATAAAAAACTATTTACTACTTTTGCTTTTAAACTAGAGAACAAAAGATGTCTTTAAGTTTTCCAGTGAATTTAATTCTAAGAAGAGAGAACTGCTATTAGGAAAGATCTAGAACTGCTACTAAAAGACAACTACAGAGAATCATGATATTTGGCTATTTAATAGAGCATTTATAAGGAAGGACTCACTCACCATGCTCCCTCCCTCCCTCTTTCCTTCCATCAGTCCATTCATCCATCTACCCAATCAACATTCACTGAGGACCACTACGGACAAGGCACTGAGCCCTGTACTGGAGATGCAGCTGTGAGCAAATGAGGCAAAGAGTCCTAATATGCAAGTTAAAAAGGGAAATAAAAAAATAACTAGAAAGTAATTGTTTTGCCTGTAATATGAAATTTTGTTAACGACTGTTACCATTGGTTTTCTCTTCAAAGTGTTACTACCTTCCTATTATAGGATAACTCAAGTATGAGAAGAATAACATGAAAAAAACTCTGTAGTTCAGAGGGAAAAATCATTCCCTTATTACGATGATGATGATGAACTGGAATCTAACAGGCAGTCAACTATTTTAACTGGGCCAAAGAGTTTTCTTTAAACCATATCACCAATGAAAAAAGTCAAATCGTAGTAAGAAAGAATAAACATGCTTTACTCCTAAAACCTCACCTCTCTTCCGGTAGATCACAGGACAAGTTGTTTGGTTTCAGTTGTGTCCACTCTCTGGTATTAAGATCTAATTTGTGCAGGTCTGTGCTGTAGATATAGCCAGTTGTCCCTCCAAAGACATAAAGGGAGCCATTGATGATAGCCATGGCCTGGATAATGAAGAAAGGTGAACAGGACTGACTCATTAACACTTGATTAAAGACCATAAACTTATTAGATACCCCAAAATCAGGTTTTATGAAATTTTCTAGTTGTTTTTTTTTTTAACCTTCTAAAACACCACACACACCCTTAAAGGACTAAAGATTTTAGAGAACACGGAAACTGTTTTTAGAAAAGTAAACCTTTGCTCGACTGGAAAGCAAGCTCTAACTAGATAGGCAAGGGGTTTGGGTCTGTAGGGGTCCTGGCCAAGGAAGGAATTTATAGATCATGGACATGGGCATTCCCACTGAAAGCTCCTTCTCTTCTAAGCAGTCTGAAGAAAAATGCTCTCAGGAAGAAGGAGCAGACATGAAAATAAGCCACTGGAATCCCTCAGGTAAGATCTGGAGTTCGCAGTCCCCAAAACTTGATGTTTTCTACCAGACTCTTCTTTAGAGTAAGTGAGGCTAGTGTTATGGTCATTTCTTAGAGTTTACATGTATCTTGTGGTGGCATATAGAATTATCCAGCATGTACCTCTACACATAACTTAGAAGCTGTCAGTACTGATGCCAGCTAGTTGAGAAAGCAGCCAAAGAGTGTTTAAGCTTAGCCCATTACTCTCAAAGGGTCTCTGATATATGGTGAGTTGTACCCTATCTTTCTGGATATATCTTTTCAAATCTAGGTTTGAAGCACTGGAACCTAACTGGAAACTAATCTCTATGTGATCTGTGTTTCACCTCTTAACCAAGTGCAGGGGTCATCTACTTTGCTACTTAGGTCAAAAAGCTCTTCAAAGAATCATATCACTCTAAACTCAAGATTCAGACCCAGACCATATGTAGCCCAATATCTTTTGGGGAGTGGGAGCGGAGGTGGGGTAGGGTCCTGACATTTAAAGAACCTTTCACACATGTCTAGATCATAAACCTAAGCTGGATTAGAAATAGGGGGAGAAAAAGGAAAGCAAAAGGCAAGCAACCAGATTTACAAATTACAATTTCGCACCAGAGCTGAAAAATCGTATGTTAACCACAGTGAATCTATTCTCCATTTAAAAAACTGATAGTAACATAAAGATTCTGTCCCCAGAACTAGAAAAATCCAAACAAGGAAATCCACCATGACCGGCCATGGATTGGTACCTGTCCGTATATACGACTGGGTTTCTTCCCCCGACAGCTGAGTAAGGCCCATCTCTTATACTTCACGTTACAGACATGGACATCATTGCCGTTGCTCTCACCAAACGGGATGCCTGTACCTCCAAAGACTAACAGGTTGTTTCCATGCAGCACGACTGGGGAAGGAGAAGCACAAATTCCATTTATGTACTAGCGACCTGAAATGTGTTCCCAGGTAAACCCAGAACATCTGGGAAACCGAAAGGTATCTGCCTGAATGCTCTCACAGGTAGCTGACGCCACTGACATCTAACCACCACGAGTGCCGCAGGAAAAGGTCTAATTCACACTACATGGACTGTATCGCATACCTTGATGTTTGGTATGTGACGTGTATTCAGGACATATTTGTGGAATTAATGAAACACTGTGTATAACAATAGTGAATGACATGAACTATAGTACACTCCTGCCACTCAAGACAGTACAAGTACGTGACAAAGCCGAGGAAGGAGAAGCATCACCTTCACCTTAGCAAAGACCTTACAGGGACTCGGGATAAAGAGTAAAAGGATTATCCTGGTTTTGCCAGCGGAATGATCTCTACATTTTAAATTATGACTTCTGCCATCTCGATCCTCCACTAGATTAAAAGAAATACCAATATCCTGCTGGTAACTGGTATTCTCTCTCTCTCTTATGTTCCTGTCGCCACACTCACACACACACTTTCACACATATACACACAGACACTAGCACGTACCTTCTTTCCCTCTCTGATGGCAAATACTATCAAAACAGTGCTACTGTATTATCTCAATGGCTTTTTTTTTTTTTTTTTTAACCAATCCTTCAACTGCTATGAGTCAACGGCATGGGCTCTGGAGCCAGTGAGAGCTGAGTTGAAATTCCCATGTGACCTCAGGAAAGTTATTTAATCTCTCTAAATTAATCTTCACAATAACCCTGTGAAGTAGGAACTTTTATCGTTTTCCCCACCTTTACAGACAATGAAATAGAAGTGGTGAGTGAGTTAAATCATTTGTTGAAGGCCTCCTAAGAAGCACCTTGCCAAGCCAGGATTCAGGCCCCGGCAGCCTGGCTCCAGGACCTGCGCCCTTAGCCACAGCTCTAGGGCTTCTCTAAAGCCTCAGTTTCCTCATTTGTACAACGGCAATAAATCCTATACCTGCACTACAGGGATGTTCTGAAGATTAAATAAATACCATGTGTGAAGTAGTCTGCTCAATAACTATTACCACTGTCATACACCCCATTTGTTGATCTTCTACTACATTCTGCCTGGCATATCTGATACTTTACGCTGAACCCTCTGAGGTATTATTAACCCCATTTTATACCTAAGGAACTTGAAGCTAAAAATCATCTGGCAAGTAAATGGTACACAGCTAAATTCAAACTCAGGCCCGTGCAACTCCCAAGTGATACTGAATTGCCATGCCATATTATTACTGTAGTAAAGAGTCTATCCATTTAACAGGATTTAATCATATTACAGTATTATTACAAATTATTAGCAAAGAACATGTGACACTTATCCAGACCTCTCAGACACTTCGTTAATGAAGTCAAAAGTTCAGGACTGCTTGCACTCACGTGACATAGATGCCAACTCCCGTGGCATGTACCCATCTGTGCCCATCTGGTGCCATACTCCTGTAGCAAAATGATACCGCCAAAGCTCCCTGAAGAGAGGGTAGTCTTCATTATCGGGCCCTCCCGATTCATCATAATCTGGGTTATAACCTCCAAACACATACAGATTGGTATTATCTGCCACACAACGATGCCCACTTCGTGCTGGTGGAGGTCTGTGGCCTAGGAGAGAAGAGGACAGGTTTCCACAGATGGCTCAGCAGATTAAAAGCACAAACAAAACTTTATAACAATCATTTTAGCTTTAAAAGGGTATCTGGGAAGGTTTACAACATGGATGTACTTTTTATTTGCTTAGGTTATTTTAGACAGTCACACACACTACTTAAGATTTTAAGGAGCTGGTCTCCATTTCTATTTCATATGACTACTTTCAGATTTTGATAACAGTAAAAAGATTTTTCCTAAGGGAGGCGAAATAGCATTATAACTTAAGAAAATGGCTGATAACTTGGAATTTTCAAGGAGGAGGGGTTTAATAATCCAAAAGCTAAAAAGACAAATTTTCTTATTTCCTTAGAGAAGAAAAAAATACAAGCCAACTAAATTAAACTGAAAATATTAGAAAACTACATAAATATAATCACAAATGTGAATGAGTCATGTATAAATAAAAATACACACACATAAAATCTATGATTTGTCCACAATATATAATTATACACTTAAAAAGAAAACTGGCTTTCAAAGAGTTATAGCAAAACGTAGAATTTAAATACAACTCCTGACATTATGGAGTTAACAAAAAGCATCCATATATCTCAAAGAGCATCTTTCATCCTATTAAGAGCTTTACACTAAGAAAAGCTATTTCTGTAAGTTATATTTGAAAGCTTTCTGAACTTTAAATTACGTCAACTAGTTCACTAAAAATTATTTCAGGATTATTTTAGAGTAAAAAAAAAACCCTGAAACTTTATATTATTTCTATTATCCTTACAATTTTTTATATGAACCCTACACTGACCCTTATATAGCTGCAGAACCAAAGATGCTTAAATATATGTTGAATGAAATAAGAAGCTCCTATAGTTGCCTGTTTCCCTAAAGACTTATCTACTTTTGTATATGAGTAGATACTAGTATAATGTTAATTAATGTTAATGCTGGACACCTAATAAACATCTATTATATAAATAAACATTTATCACCAATCTAACGTGTATTTTTTAAATCATAATCCCATTTCCTAGAGTTTGCTTTTAAATAAGACCTGAAAAGAAATTACTCAGATCTAGAGAAACTGAAAAACCAACCAGCCAACCATGAATCACTGAATTGCTCAAGTCCAACCTGTCAGCCTTGTCTGAGTCTTTGACAGTTCCTTACTGCTTGAGAATGGAGCCCTCGACCAGCGTCTGAGCCTTTCACCACACAGCCTCGGCCTGACCTCTCACACTCCTGCCTGTTTAAGTTCGTCCCTCTGCTTGGGAGGCAGAGTCCTTCCCTTAGACCCTGGCCTGGTCTCCTGCCCTTCGATGCCTCGTTAAGGAAATGGCTCCGAGTCCAGCCCACACAGCTCCTTCTCGTCAATAAAACTCTAGGCCCTTACAGTTTAGCGCCCTACTACTCAAACGTTAGGATGCACGTGTACAATTAATACGGTTATTACACAATAACTATATAAATTCATGTATAAATACATCAGGCAAACTATAATCAGGTAGGAAACTTAACTCGTGGGCTATGATTTACCTCAAGTGAAGAACTCAATTTCTCTTTCTAGGAATCTTGAAACACAGAAAGTGTGGTGTGGAAGAAAGAGCAAGGGCTCCTACAAATATCTAGATTTGAATCCAGGTTCTTCCTAACTGCCGCCTGGAGCAAGCCACTGACCCTCACTGAGTCTCAGCATCCTCTTCTCTGTAAGGGAATAGTATTCCTGTACCTTACAGATTAATTAATTAATTAATTAAATATGAAGATATGTACACATCAATAAATATTTTAACATAGTATATATTATTTACATATATATAAATTTCCAGACAGCTGTGAGCTATTTGCAGGAAGAAGAATGTATTCATATTTACCTTTTCCACCACCACGCCTAAGGCACATGAACACTGAACAAATTTACAAACTTAATTTTTCTCTATTCATTTTGTTAATATTTATTTTTCTTTTCCAAATACATTATAAGCTTCTCAAGGGCAAAGATCATGTATAACAATTATCCTGTATCACCCACAACACCTAAAACAGTTGGAGATATATAACAGATAGTAGAAGTTTTTTGATTTGAACTTCAAGTCAACGTAAACAGTGACAGGGATGATCAAAACAGTGTACAGCTCTCAGTGGACTTTAATATTGTTGTGTTTAATAGATATACAATTTTACGGACAGGGGCTAGATTATTCAATGGTCTTGTCCTCAAAACACAAATGCTTCTAAGAATTAGCAAGACAAATTTAAAGACAAATAGAGCTGCTATGGTCAACAGACAGGAACTCCAAGGATCTCTGTAATGCCATTTGCTTTATTACCTGGAGCCAACAGATAATTTTTAAAACTGCTTTTCAGCAAACATGGAAAGACAAACAGTCTATTCTAGGATTTTCTCTAAATGGCTGTACAGCAGAGAAGACATTCCATGATAAGTTTATTGCCATCTATTTTTGTGACAAATGTAACGCACATGGATTAAAGGTTAAGGAGTCTGTGAAAAGATGGTTTTATATTCATCCATTCATTCATTAAACCAAAAATTTTATTGGACACCTGTTATGTACCTGGTACTGTGATAGGTGCTGGGGATACAATGTTCACACCATTACTATTCCTGGAGCTTATAGTTTAGTCCAATGCAGTGCCCACTGAGCACATGTGACGACTGAGCACTTGAAATGAGGCTGGTCCCAACTGAGAGTGGCTTTAAATGTAAAATACCCACTGAATTTCCAAGATTTAGTCTCCCAAAACAAATGTAAAATTACTTACTTTTATATTAAATATATGTTGAAATGATATTTTTGATATCCTGGGTTAAATAAACATATTATTAAAGTTAATGTCATCTGTCTTTTATTTTCTTAATATAGCTACAGAATTTTTTAAATTTGTGGATCACATAATATTTGTATCAAAGAGCACTGGTGTGGCTTCTGTAAATAATTTCATTATCTATGCAAATTAAATTGCTGGGTAAAGAGCATCTGATCAATGTTTGATAAATATTAAACATCCTGTCAAGGAGTCTTATAGCTCAGAGTAAAGAGGTAATTCTTTCTCTTTAGTCAGTAACTAGAGATTTCTTTGTACATACATATTTATAGCCCTAGAGTGACTAACGTATTAGAAAGCCAAATTTTACTTTAATCATGGGCATTTGTCAGGGCTAATGCCATAGAGACTATGAATTAATTTTCATTATGTGGGATATAGTATAGGCTCATCAACCTGGACCAAAATGAAAATAGGTTTCAGATTAAGTAGTTCTCTGAATCCTCCCCTAAATTCTCCATGTGCAAATCCCACCTTCTTAAAAATTACTTGCTCCTAATAAAATCATCCACAGAATTAGGTTACTTGATTCAGGAATTCCCATTAGAAAAATGTATAAGTTGAAAATTAAAACTGAACCAGTACTCAGAGGTGAACTCTGAATATCCAGAATGGAATAGCAGACTAGAGTGTTCCTGTGATGTCTGAGCCATCTTCCCTTCCATGTGCTCACCGTGTCACCAATACTTGCTCTTTATCCGAGAATAAGCAAGAGCTTATGGTAACCAGGGAAGTGGGCTTTAGTTTCTAACCCAAAGGAAGAAAGAAGCTAGCTGTCTGAGATAAGGTAACAGATGACTAGGCTGCTGTTAACATTTTCACTATTACAAATAATATTGTAACAAAGCTTCCTTTACTAGATTCATACCCAAGTGTCTGAGTATCTCTGGAAATATAGAGTTTTGGGTCAAAGGAATATTCACTTAAAATTGTTACAGATGCACTACTGTTATAGAGCCATGTTGCTCCACAAAAAGACTGGAATAATTTATACCCCCAGCAATGGTGTATGGAAGTGCCTATTTCTTCATGCCCTCTTGAACCTTTTTAATTTGTGCCAATGAATTCGGTATAAACTGGTGTCAGATTGATTTGCACTTTCCTGATTTTTACTAGCTCACATGTTTATTGGCCCATTTCTATTTCTTCTCTGGGGAACTGCCTGATAATATCCCTTACCCCCTTTTCTACCTATTGGGTTGTCTTCTCACAGATTTGTAGAAATTACTTATTATATTTCTTCCATTCTACCTGTCTTTTAATTTTGTTTATGGTATCTTTTAACATATGGAAGTTTTTGTGTAACTGAATTTCTCAATCTTTTAGGGCTCCTGGGGGGCGGGGAAGGGCACTACATTTCACTGATTTCTACACCATTATAAAATTATAAAAATACTCATTTACTTCTAGTGATTTTATAGTTCTGATTTTTATGTATAGAACCTGAATACACCCAGAATTTATTTTATTTTTGTGTTTTGTATGAGGTAAGGCTCTAATTATTTTTTTAAAAAAAATGGATAGGCTATTGTCCCAAATCACTTATGGAGAGCTGTCTCTTCTACACTAAATTGAAATGCCACCTTCATCATCTACTAAATTAACATATTATAGAGTATAATCAGAAAAAAAAACAATATCCAGGTTTAAGTCACCTTTTGCACAAAATCTACTGTTCTTTAAGAATGCACACAATCAATAGAAAGTGACACCATGGAATCTTAAACACAAAAACTTGCAAAAAAGTAGCACAACACATTTTTGCTTAATAAGTCCATTATAAGATGTAGCCACCTCTAGATTGTGCTATCAAACATTTGTGGGGAGGCTCTTTTAAAATAAAATAAAAACCTCTATTGCTAAAAGTACTAACTAGTTATAAATAGCAAATAGCCTAAAGGATAAATTGAGTTTAATTTAAATTGGTCATTTATTTCTAAATCTAAAACCCACCATGACCTCTACCTGAGAAGACAGATCTTCTGTTGTACACCTGAGAGCCTGGATAGGAAGGCCAAGGAAGACTGAGCCAGCTGGCTTTAGCCCCTGACTAGCAGGCAGAACTTTTTACTACTCCCAAGCTGCTCGGGCCAAAATAATCCATTTACACCAGCACACACTATTACTTCTTAGTTATGTAAGCATCTCCTACCACA